AGTATAAGAAAATAATGTCACCACATGTGAGTAAATATATTAGTCAGTTATTTATTTAGCTACCAGCAAGAACTTATCTGTAAGAAGTTTGTGAATGATGTTGTCTTTAGTGTCATTTGTCAAACAAAACTACTGATCGTTCGCTTGTTTTCGCCTGTTGGCTGTCAAGATTTACTGATTTTCTTTGTTCTCTGTTGGTGTAAAAAATGTCTTTGGGTTTTAGACAGTTGTGTGGAATAAATGAGAAATTTAAAGATCTTCCACTTGACTTTTTAGAGGTGTAACAGGTGTTTTATTGTTATTATTATTCAGATTTGTTGTATAAACCCAAACGATTAATGTATAAATCCAGGAATTTCTGGCGAGCTAGTTTGTTATGGTAGTCGCAGCCCTACTCACGCTACTGCACTTCTACAGTATAACCTGTCCCGAAAAGAGGTTTTGAACATTAAGCCGATGCTCAGCGAAGCATTCCACTAATAAACATGCAATTTTTCAAGTAATGCATGTTTGTATATAGATGGTATCGTGCTTCCTGGAAGCAGAAGTGTGTTTTTGAGAAATTTAACACAGCGCCTGGAAAAAAAACCAGCAAATGAATGAAAGAGCTCCTGAATTCTGACAAATGATTTATCACCGCCGCTGATGAAGTTTAAAGTCTCTGTGTGAAATGCAGCAGCGCTTTTGTTCCAACTCTCATCTACCTTGTAGCGTGTTGAGTATTTTAAATGAAAAAGCAGCTCTCTTGGCACATAAGCGGCACGGCACGGCCCGACGCTCATACCTCCCCCGATATTATCGTCAGTACAGTAGTAAACAGGAAGGAGGGTTTAGTGTACCAACCGCTACATTTACACAACATGTTGTGTAACGATATAACAACATTATCTCTCTTTTTGGACTCGTGGCGGTGCCACATTTAAAGACGCAGAGGCTTTGTAGTCAGACTGACCTGAACTCAGTGATTTTAGTGGAAGAACTAAAGCAAACAGTTCTGATTATTCTGTTTCCTGATCTGACTTCCAAGATTAACGATGAAATGAAATGACAGATTCCCAGTGGAAGCAGCCGCTCCCTACCGAATAACTCGAGAGTGTTTGCGCCGCATACGTAAATGTGTAACTCCTACTGCGTATTATGAGTAGCTGCTGTGTCGCCCAGTCTGTCTCGCAGCTTGATTATGAGTTTGGAATGTCCATAAATTGGTACGGAGTTGTTTGCAGATGTCTGGAATACCAGCAAAAAGAAGCCTAAGGACTGTTAAGGCAATGCTATGTGATCGCAGGCTTTGGCAGCCGTTGTGTTTGGAGAAGGTGCCACCAGTAGCCTTAATGAAGACTAAATAGTAATATTGGAAGCATGACAGAATATTCAGCTGTCCTGGCAAGCGTTTGTGCAGCTCGGTGTTTGTGCTTTGGCTACGTGAGCGTAAATCAAACAATAAAAATGTGTGTGCGTGTCGGGTCAGCGCTGCCCCGTGACCTCGTGGTCGGAGAGTGACAAAGTCGGCGAAACAAGAATGCGAGAGAAGTAGCTTATCGTGGTGTGTGTAGCCAGAAAAACAGGAAGTGGCAGCCAGTGACATCTGGAGAAACATCTGGAGAAAGGCCTCGAGGTGTGTGTGTGTGTGTGTGTGCGCACATGTGTGTCCTGCGGTGTGAAGCGAAGTCCTGTTGTAAGGACTTTTTGCAGCGCGAGCATGTGCGATGCAGTTGCGTGCTGACGGAACAGAATTTAAGAGGTCACTTCAAAGTGTCTCTTGTAAACGTTGGTGTGCGCTGCTAGATGAACAGACCGCGGCGCATGTCATTGCCTCACGCCGCGAATCAAAGGCCGCGTTCTTTTCATGATGTCATCCGCTTCCTGCTCGCTGCGTGTCGTCCGCTACAGTAGAAAAGCCTCGAAACCTTTTCAGTCGTTGATTTATTGAGACATAATTCACTGTCTTGGATTCTTTGTTTGACTTTTGGGTTCTCAGTTGTTTCTTTAATGTATTCTGGGGCTACATTTCTCAGCCTGTAAACTTCCAGGACAAAGGGGAACAGTGGATCCCTTCAGCCCCATGAAGCATCTTAGTGTCTTTCAGCTCGTTGCTTTGTTTTATGGCCGCTCTCATCAGTGTCACGTCCAAGCCGAAGCAGCAGCTGTTTGCAGCAAGAAACCGCTGAAAAAACCCTCTGTGCACCACTTGCTCTGGACCAAATGGGTTGCATTTATTGATTGATTGATTGATTGATTAAAAAAATAATAATAATAATAATAATCTGCCAGTTATCTTTTTGATTGACCAACTGATTGTTTGATCTGTGGTCTTGTCCAAAACCAAAGGATTTAAGGAAATACTATTTTTTTTTTTTTTTTTTTTAAATGTAAAAAAAAATCTTATGAGAATGTTTAAAAGTCTTGCTTAAAAGTGATTAATCAATTATTATATTCTAATAATAGTTGCCAATTTATTGATTAATCAATTAATGTTGTGTTTTAGGGATTTCTTTTTTATTTCTTTTTGGCATTTGTCCTTTATTTCAGCAGGTGACAGTGGTGAGAACAGAGAAAAAATATGCTGCAAATGCTCCCCAGCCGTGGATGTTGCATTTCTGATGAATTATTTAGTCTCCAGACACCCCCGACTAATTAATTAATTGACTACTTGTTGCAGCTTTACAGCACAGAGACCAGGTTACAGACTAGCTGGTGAGCAGATTTAGCAGCTCAGGAGTTAAAGTAAAGATAACTCTCGTGTTTGTTGCGTGGCCAGAACTACAACAAAATTGCATTTGGATAATCAAAAAAAATTTTAATTTTTTGTCTTCTCCTAAACACTTTACCTTACTTTCGATGTGCAAACGTCATGAGCTTAAGTTAAAATAAGAATTAGAACTCATGAGGACATATAAAAAGACAAGAGAATGCACTTAGACAAGGCTACGTAATCATGACACAGCAGATGTTGGTGATGTTCTCCTGCTGTGGATGGTGCAGCATCTTGACTGCTGCTGCCTCAAGGAATCTCCTTTTGCTTTGTAAAACATAGACCAAGTGTCTCCTCTGCTGAAGGAGATAGGAAAGGAAGGACCTCTTCCTTGCATTTAAAGCATGCAGCTAGCTTATCCCATAGCTGCCACTTCTATACTTCCAGGTCATTTCTCTCAAGTTAGGAACCTCCTGAAGCAAAAGTGATTCTTTGACTTCAAACCGTCTTCTTTATATCAACTTCTTAGTGTTGTACAGCTTGTTCAGCTAACAAAATGGTAAAAAAAAAAAAAAGAAAAAGAAAATAAAAACAAATACAGGTTTAACTCTCTGAGCCCCAAGCAGTTTTAGGCATTCTCTGCTTCTGTCATTTTTACTCACTGTGGGTTAATTTTTTACTGCAATATAACATCCTGCACCTTTATTTAAAAAGTACAACCATGGCTAGAAGTACACAGGACTCAAAAATATATTTTGTGCAGCATAACAGAGTGATATTGTTGTAAATCATAAGAAAAGAAAAGAAAAAAATATTGAATTTCTTTGATTATTTACTTTACAAAAAAAATGAAATCAACATGTACAATTGTGCCCTCAGGTGTAACTACTACCAATAGAGTTCTTAATTAGTATTTATTCATATGTCTCCACTCTGCTCTGTGTAAACACAGCCTGCAGCCGAAAGCCCTCTGAAGTTTTGTCACATGATTGTTGGTCACAGCCGAGTCACTGATGGCTTTGAGGTTTTCCCAAGGAGCAAAGATTTTTTTAGTTTTTTACAGAATCTAGTTAAAGCAAATGGTATATGTTGATTTTAATGAAGTAAACTTTCTGACATTGCAGCATGTCACAGATATTAAGTTAAAGGATGGTTTAAAGTCTGGCAGTTCTTCATGTTTTCAGTTTTGGGCTCTGGTCAGTGGGGTTAATGTGCCTTTTCAAACCTGTCAGTAGGTTTTGAGGGTTAAAATGTACTCCGTTTTGACTGTATAACTCCATTTCTGTTGTTTCCAATATTCCTATCGTAAATCTGTAAGTTTGTTGATGTCAATTTCTATATTATACACCTACATGACACACTTTTGTTGAGCTAAACGTCTGTTTGCTTCTATAGCTGCTGCTTTTCTGTCTTCATCGCCATGTTGAGACGTTAAATCTCAGACTTGTCCTGTAGCACAGCTGTGGAAGCCTCCGTCAGCCTGTTGTGGACCTTTGCAAGTCATAAATCCAGCAGTATATTGTGATTTATAGTCCATATTTTCACGCTGGATCATCTCTACCAGTGATGCTGTAAAGTGAGATTGAGCGAGTGTGTATAAGCTTAATACCCAGTGAATTATGTGATCATTGTTTCGCCCTCAGCAGTCGGAGAGTTGAGCTCGACGGCAGCCACCCCGACTGAAAGAATTTAGTTTGTGTTGGTTTTAAGGAGAGCATTAGTGTCACATGGTCGACACGCTGAATCAGATGCTTTTCTGCAAGAAAGAATTCGAGGGCTGAATGGCAGCTTTAGTGCAGCCTCATAAGCCACATTTTGAAGAGAGCAGTCATCGTTTCAGATTGTGTAAGTTAAGAGATAATGTTTTGAAAAGGAATCCACTTAATTAGCGTAATCAAGGTTTAGCTTGTATCTTTAACACAGTAGGAAAACTGACTAACTGGTCCACTCATTGAGTTTAGAGCTGTAGTTGATGCTTCTAAATACCTCCACCTCATTGTGTTTATTGGCAGCTTTGTTCTGTGTGTGACAGTTTGTCTCTAAAGTCGCTTTGATTTGTTATTTTTATCCATTATCTTAACAGGGTCTGAACCGTCTCTCTCTCTCTCTGTCTTTCCATGCAGCTCACAGCCATATTTGCTTTCGGAAGCTGTGGCGGATTCTCTGGGAGGAACATCATATCTCTCTTCTGTGGAGACGGCAAGAATGAAACTCTCAACGCCAACTTTAACTACCCGTTCAGGTGAGGTTTTCAATGCGTTTTTTTGTTATTTTCAGTGTCAGCGATGACGACGTTAACCTTCTCTCTCGTATCGTCGGCAGGTTGAGCGAGGTCCCGCTCATTGATGGGAACACCACGCTTTGTAACCGCTCCGTCTCCACCACACACATGGTGGGAGACTCGGCCTCCTCAGCCGAGTTCTTTGTGGGCGTCGGCATCGTCTGCTTCCTGTACAGCATGGCGGCTCTGCTGGTCTATTTAGGCTACATGCACGTCTACAAGGACTCTGATTTTGGACCCATTTTAGTAAGCATCGACTTCACCTCTAGTAGATATTAGAGCAAACTGTTTCTCTCTTGATTATTTTAAATAACTGTTTCACCCTTATGATGAATTATCCAGTCAATTTCATTTAAGTTCATTTTAACTTGATTAACTGTATGTCATTGTGTAATGCAACACTACACAATTAAAAAAAAAACAACATATTAAAGTGTAAAACAGTCATTAAACCGGCAGCTTCAATGTGATACAATTAATTTTAGAAAACCAAAGTACCAAAGCTAGGTCTGTATATTAAAGTGCAACATGGACATGGCGGATATTTTACAAGCAAATCATCATTTTTGTGTAATTGCTGTCTGACTTTGATATTAGCTTTAAATTCTATTTAAAAAATTCTGCCAAATTCACAGGACAGCTGTCATCTTTAACTTGTGGATGATGAGTTTGTTAGATGAAATTTGGGTTATAGAATCAGGGGTATGAGCTGCATTTTAGTCACTAATTTATACTCATGCTGTAGTTGGACAACAGAATAGTAAATGTGAACATTATGGCTGCATTTAAATACAGTAAAGTGAGCACAGAGAGCAGGAGAGAAGCAAACAGATGCCTCTGGGTTTCCCTTCTGGTGCTCATGTATAATGTTGTTCTGCTGTGGTCTATGTAGTATCCAAACTACCTTTCTGTTGCGGGATCCTTTCCTGAGCTCTAATACATTTGGATCTGTGGAAACTTTTACACCGACCTGAGTTGAGCTGTCACCATTTGCTAAAACTGTAGCGCTGACTGCAGCTGACCAGTTACTGGAGCCGAAAAAGACTGACGTCATATTGCAAGAATTACACAGTGATACTAAAGATATACAAATAACAAAATAGAAAAATAAATTGATGTTGACGCGTGCAGCAATAAAATCATCAACTAATTGCAGCAGTTCTAGTAGACAAAAGACAAACTTGAAGCGAAGTCTTAAATTGACAAAATCTCAGATAAGGTTTTGTGCATTTTCAGAGATGAGAGGCTTGTAGCGTCTGTTCGAAGAGCTGATGGGTTTGCTCTCTCCTCCAGGACTTTGTGATCACAGCCTTCCTGGTCTTCCTGTGGCTGGTGTGTTCGTCCGCCTGGGCAAAGGGGTTGCAGAACGTGAAGGACGCCACGGACACTGACGGCATCAGCGGCACGCTGGCGCTCTGTAAGGGCACCAACGTCACCTGCGAGGTGACGGAGTACGCCAGCATGCGGGCCCTCAACATCTCTGTGGTGAGAAAAAATACAGAGCAGACGCACAGAACATTGTGGTTCACTCTCGTCTCACTCACCTCAGCATTCATTCACTTCTATTGAAAAACAATGATGTAAACGCTGAATTTATTTCCAACCTGAGAATCTACACAGTTGATCTTATTTAATAGAATAATAATGTAATAATGCACTAACAACTGCAGTCATGAGACACTGAGCAGTAACACTTTAATTTCACTCAGACGCTGTAGCTGCGCTCTGCTCAATATGCGTCACATCCTATTAAACTTCAAAGTCCAAATCAGATTTGGTCTTCTTTAGCCACACTCGCGTCATGGCTGTAGAGAGGCCAGTTTCAGTTGGTGTCCGTCAGTCGTCCTGCCACGCTGGTCTGGATGGAAATATCGACGTCATGTGGTCGACTGAAATGTCTTGACGATTGTAATGACATTTGCTACAATCAAATTGACTGTATATTCTCCTGAGAATGAATTATAGCACTCTCATGATCTGTTAACTCTTCATTTACACGTTCATCATTACGTCATCATCTTTTAGTTTAAGTTGAGTTTGTTTTCGGTAAACTAAGATGTGAAATATCTGCAAACTAGCACCACAAACAACTACAGTATGATGGTCCCTCATTGAGTTTGGATTTTGCCTTTCAAACCTGACGACACCTTTAACAACTTTAACAACTTTAGAAATGATTCCACTCTAAATGTTACATTAATTTACAAACTAAACATCATGCTGTATTGAAGGAGATTCAACATTAGCAAGACCATGAACTTATTTGTCAGATGTGAACTGAGTTAGCAAATCAGGTGAGATTTGGACTCATTTTATAGTTGACTTTGATGCAATTTGACTTGTTTTTGCAACCAATGGAGTCGCCCCCTGCTGGTTGTTAGAAAGAACGCAGTTTGAAGTCACTTTTACATTGAGTTTCCTTTTCAGACCAATTGAGCTCGAAGCACAGCCTCAGTTGTGGCCTAAGAAAATTGAATCATACAGCAAGTTGAGGGTTCAGCTTCGTACCAACCACCCTGAAAGAATGAAATTTGTGTTGGGTCCAAGTGAAGCACCGAATCAAACACTTTTATACCTCTGAAAGAAAGAACTGAAGAGCTGAATGGCATCGGTAGTGGAGCCATATTTCATGTAAAGCCATCATTCTTTTCAGATCATGCATGTAAAATATTGACACAAAATAATGGATTTGATTAAAGAAATGAGGAAACTTTAACTTAGTACAGATGTTGATTAGTTGATCTACTTATTTCAGTTCTGAAAAATGTTACTCTTTTATGAACAAGGGCCTGTTGTTAGTGTTTGAATGTGTCATCAGCAGTGATGAAAGGGAAGTAAGTACTTTACTTTTACTCAATCATGGCAGCTAAGTACAATTTTGAGGTAAGTATTTAGATTTTATGATACTTTATGCTTCCATTTAACCCAATTTCTAAAGGAAATATTGAACTTAGTATTCCTCTACATTTATTAGACAACTTTGGTTACTTTAAAGATGAATATTTTACACAATGAATAACATAACAAGCTTTTGAAATACAGCACATTGTTAAAGATTATAGCAGGGATTTCCAAACTTTTTAGCTTTAAATACAAAACCTTGTGCATTCAGGGTCACATTTTTTTTCGATTTTTTTCCTCTAGACTTCACAGATTTTTTTTTATTTCAATAAATGATCCAATATCAACATTGCTGCTCATACCACTATGTGCTTTTTGTAATGTGCTTTTATTTAAATAGCACGACTTTCTTCCTCTATTGGAGTATGTTTACATGGCTGTATTAGTACTTTTACTGAGTTATCAGACCTGAACACTTCTTCCACCACTGATCATCCCCTAAATTTTATAGTGTGTTACAAGAAAGCATTTGCTATTATTATTAATGTGTTGTTTTTTTTTTGGTCTTCCAGGTGTTTGGCTACCTCAACATGTTTGTGTGGGCGGGCAATGCCTGGTTTGTGTACAAGGAGACTCGTTGGCACTCCCAGAAATCCTCCTCCCACCCTGGACCTGGAAGGCAACAGGTCCCTGCACCGATCTAACGAACACGCAGCGAGACAGTCGTATAAAAACAAACCGTAACGCGCACACACCGCGCATGCAACAACACACTTACGGTACACAGTCGAGTATAAATGCATGCATGCAAAATTCATGCGTAGACAAATGTGCATAAAAACATTTTTAGCACACACAAAAAAAAGTGAAGAGGATGAAGACAGATTAAATGAAGGACAGACTGATAGGTCATCTGTAGGTATTTGGACCTTATTGTTACAGCAGCTGCTGTTTAATTGGCATTTTGTAGCTTAGAATGACTTTATGTTACATCATTCTTTGCACATTTCTGAAAGAAATATACATAAAAGCAAAAATATTCCCCTAAGCAGCCCAGGAGCAGTTGGCCAGGTGGGCAGAAGATGCCGTCACACGTAAGGTTTGATGTGCCTTTATGTTTTTAACCTGCTCCACATACTATAGCAACACCAATACAGTTAGGATGCCAAATACTTCTTATGCTTTAGCAAGCACACACATTCACAGACAACCAAACGTTCAGACCAAATTTAAGCTTTATAGCAGCATCGTGCCTTGTTTTTAGGAATTATACACTTCTCTAATTCCATTTTCTGCTTGAGTTTATTACACTTAATCACATGCAGATGAGTGTGAGGTACTTTAAACCTGCTCTCGAAGATATCAAACTAAGCATATGGAGCAAAAATTACATTTTTTTGTGAGGAAAAATGTGAGTTTTTCAGGGTAACACAGAGGGGAGAACTTTTCACTGTGAGGCATCGTGTTATTTAAGAAAACCCCTTTAAGATTTTGCATTCATTGGAAGATAAATTGGTAAGTGTAGACACCTGTTTTCCCACTGTTCAATTATGTTTTTGCACATTTTATATCGTTTTAAACTTTTCCTTCCCTTTTAATTCATTGGCTCTCTCACAGTTAAACCATTTACCCTCTAGTGGCAGAAATCAGAAGCTGCAAATTTAAGCGATTAATGACCAAACTAGAGAGTTTATCATGATATGCATCTATAAAAGCTTGTATTCTTGCAGGTTTAAAGGTCAATCTACGCATGAAAGCAAATTTAGTTTTTTTTTTTAAGCTTTCAGATACTCAAGCAAAGAGGCCTCCTACTCAAATATTAGGAATGTAGTTTGTCTATTGTTGTTTTGTCGTTGTTCACACATGGTGCTTAATGTGATTCTAAAATGTCCTTCAAAGCACTGCGAGTTTCACTCCAAGAAGAACACATGAGAGTTTGCTTCTTTCTTAGCCCAGGAAATAACCTTCTACCAAGGTACCAGTTAAAAGAGGAGTCCTGTGCCTTCCTTTAGTCATCATGTTGAATGTATCAGCAACATCACATTTACTATTTAATTGTAATTTTCATCATTTTCTTTTTTCAAAAAAATATTCCACCGAATCTTCTTTTCCTTCTGCTTGTTTCATATCTCCATGTGATGTTAAATCAATTATTTTGTTGTTGTTGTTCCGTCCAGAACATCTTGTTCTCCGCCGTCTGCCTTATTATAATCCATCACAAGACACCGAACGACGAGCTGGTTTTGTGTTTTCTATGAACTGTGTCACTTTTTTTTTTTTTTTAACTGTTTTTCACTTTCAGTATATGCAAATTGTTAGGTTGAGTCGTGTGATTCTGTCTTTTTTTTTCTTGTTCGTCTGTTGTGTTTTCACATAGTAAAAAAATGTACAATGATGTAAATTCCTTTAACTTTACCCAAAGACGAAGTTAAATGAAACATCTAGTGTGTGTGTTGTTGGGTGTACTGGTTATACCTTCTGCACTCCTGCAATCATTATCCGTTTTAACTATAGCTTTTTAATGATTTGTATGCATTTAACCTGCCAAACTGTCTTATCCAAGAGAGCTATGCACTCCATGACATGCACAATTCCAGTGTACTTTTTGTTTTCCCAATAAAAATGAATGATTTTTTTTCATTGATCTCTTTAGTGAGTGTCTTTTTGATCCACACTTTCAAACACCCATAAGAAAACCAAACAAAATGTCCACTCTGCTCCACATTTTTCATTGTTTTCTCGAGTAAATGTGACAATTTGTGCGTTTGTGTGTGTAGTCGAGCCTCCGTATGGAAACAATTTCACAAAACCTAGTAGTTTCGGTACAAATGCAAGATTTCCTGATGCTGTGCAGGTGAAAACTTTACACAACACATATGAAATTCTTGCACTGTTTCGCCTCTCCTCATCGTTTTGTATAAAATCTGTTTAGTTTTACAGTAAAAGACATAAACTGCTGCATTTGAAATCATAAATCCAGCATTAGAGAGTGACAAATCATACTATTGTGTTTCCTAGTTGGGTCCGTTGAACTTGTGATTGGTCCCATGACCTCCGTGATCACTGCGTGTGGTGAAACTGCAATTGAGTCATCCCTTCTGAATATGTGTGTGCATACAAAAGACAGGAAAGATTGCATTCAGCGGCGGATTATCATATAAAGTGCGCGGAGAGACTCCGTGTGGATGTGACCTGATTGACACATCATCATAAACTAATCAGCGTCATTTCCATGTCCTCGTTTAAGGCTGTCATTTCCGTTTAACCTCCACCCTTCTCTGGGTTTTTTTCTCCCCTCACTACGCTCTCTTGATTCAGCTAAAAAAGATGAGCGTAGGTCATGTCGTGTGTGATTTAAATCCAATTGTTTGCAGCTTTCATCGCAGGAGGCAATAATCGGTTTGTAATAAAGTGGGTGAGGAAGACTTCTTGGAATCCCTAATAATTCATTGTTAACACGACAGGGAGAGTCGCACGCACCGTGACAGTGCTTTATGATCTTGTTTGATGACAGCGGGACTGGATTTGGTTGTTAAATGCATCAGCGGGGACTATTTTAGAGAGATGTTATTTAGTTCTTTAAATCAATTTTGTGCATTTTTAATCCATTTATCTTCATTTAAATGTTTTTTATTTGCTTGGCGCTTGACGTGCAGGCTCTGTTTCTGGCCACAAGAGGTCAGTGTTGTGCCATGACATTTCAGTTTTTTATTAAAATAGCTGTCTGGGAGAAGTGGAGGATTTAATTTCTCTTTTTGGTTAGAAATGTGAACTACAGATAAAATATACAGTTTTATGTGGCTCTACCTTTCTGTTTGCATCACTGCTTCAGCATCCTGTTGCTCAGTGTCAGAAAAATTGGCCTTTTTTCTCAAAAAGACAGACCAAAACTAACGGAAACTGTGCATGTTGACTCTCTGTCACACTGTCATATCTTACTGGGACATTTTAAAAGAACAGAAGTCATCATTGGTGCTATTTGTCCAATTTAAAATGTAATAAGGAACTGACAGTGTGTCATAGAGGCTCCCAAGTTGTCCTCGAAAGATCTGAAGATTTTTCTTATTACTGTATCTAAATCAAACTATAATTTTCCTGTGAACCTCTTCAAAGACCTCCAGTCGTCTCCAGTCCCCATTCTGGCCTCTACGACTCGTGCCAGGTGTCTTTATTTTGTGCCTGTGCATTCAAAGCTCACCATCATTAAGTGAAGCCGACCTCACGACGAACGCATTACCGTTCAAACAATAAAACCATTTAAATTAATCTTTTCGCCGCTACCACCTTAAAGCATCACCGGAGCCATTAACACGGTGACATTACACGCTAAATGGGGTTTTACTGGTTCTCGTAGTTCTGACCTCGCCTCTCCGACATCCATTACTTCTTTGCAACTTCCTGGCAAGCCCTTTTCAGCTCGGTCGTTTATTTTAACGGAAGGAAGATTTAACTCTGGCACTTGTGTGCTTTTAGGCCTCCAGCCTCAACTCCTGGAATACAGGAGTGAAGGAGCACGACGGTGTGGAGATCCATCACATCCAGGTTTAATGTTATACACTAGTTTTTATATTTACAACAAGTGCCATTAGATTTCAGCACAGATCGTTTCTTCATTCGGTTGGTTTGTCTGTTGTCATTAATACTAATGGCAGATTAATTGAGTCTACCAGTACAGACACTGAAAGCTTGAATAGATATATAATAAATGCATCTTAAACAGTTCACATTCAGCAGTATTGATTGGATATTGTAAGATAATTATCACTACAAACAGAGCTTGAAATCTCTGGCAAAGATTTATTGAATGAAAAATCTATACTAAATAAATATATGCAGCATGTCATATTTTATTAAATTCTAACCATCCCTTTATTACACAGGGGAATAAGTATTTGATGTTCTAATACACAGACTCTTTATGATAAAATGGACAACATGAAAGAGCCAAATACACTAAAAACAATGCTTGGGGTCACCAAAAACAAAAATTTCTAAAGTTTGCATCAATCTTATGACAACTTTTGGTGCATTTTTTTTTCAACCAAAAAACTGCATTCTGTTAAGCTAATTACTTTTTTTCTTGGAATAGAATAGAATAGAATAGAATAGAATTAAAATAGAATTTCCTTAGAATAGAATGCTTGTGTATGATGACAATAAAGCATTCTATTCTATTCTATTTAAAGGTATTTTTAATTACCCCTTATTTAATGATTGTTAGCATAAGCACAAGATTTTAAATTTATTACTCAAAAAAATGAAATTATTGTTGATGATTTTTTTTTTTTAAAGTAGTTCGTCCAATTAATTTTTCTTCTGTAGTTTTTAGTTTTTCAGTTTTGTTCTTTTTTCAACAAAATCCACTTTTTTGGTAAAATAAAATAAAATAAAATTTTGTAAAAAATTATGCACCTTCCATTTTTTTAAATTTTGCGAACAAAAACATACACTCAATATCAAGGTGATGCAAGAATATTATGACAACCCAACTCATCAGCCTTTTATAGTAACTGGTCAAAGCAGTGTGTCTGTACTGGTCATACTATCTGGTTATTGTCTCAGGGTGTGAATCTGTCACCAGTTGAACAGCTCAAAAACGTTTTGCTTCACAACTGACTAAATTTAACCCAGTAGAAATGTGATTTTTTACTTTTCCCTCAGCTGTGTTTAATTTTTACTCCGTGTATGTTGAGTTCCACCATTAGGATATATTCAGTTATTGTCAGCAGTCATTTATTTGTCTTTATAAGCAAATGGAATCCGAATCATTAAGGTTTTGTTGCCAAGTAGGTTTTTACATACAAGGAATCTGAGTTGATGTTTTAGTGCATAACAGTAAAAATACTGAAGGAAAAGATGAGTTTTCATTCATTGTATATATTTTTTTAATTGAATTTGACGACTTGTATTGCTAATAAATGTCCTATGCTTGGCTTTTAAAAAAAACACATTAATTTCTAGTTATTTATAATGCAACCTAAAGTGGTAATTTTGGTGTGTGGAGCCTTATAATATTCCCTCTGAACTTTTGAACTCCCCAGCAGCTCCCTATCTGTGGGCTCAACCTCTCAACCCTCCGGAAATAGCCGAGCGGAGCCGAAGCGCGCCGACGGCGACGTCAGCGTATCTCGTTCTTTCGTTTTTTCGGCTGCTGCGTGCGAAGGAGAGAGAGGAAAAACGGCTCTCAGCAAAGCAACAAGAACGAAGAGCAATGGCGACACTGGATCGCCAAATACCAAGTCCGGATACGTTCCTGTGCGAGCCTTGGTCTTCCTTCGTCAGTGCGGCTAAATTACGTTTTGTTGACAGTAAGTTCGCACGTCGGTAGCGGCTGTTGTTTTTGCGGGCAAACTGTCGGGAAGTGCGTGGTCCAACTGTCTGTGATTGAGTTGAGTAAAGCTCCTCCACCATGCAGGGTCTGTCAAAGCGCAGCAAAGTAACTGTCAGAAATATTACTACGAAATGCAATATTCATGGCTTTTCAGTGACAGCCGTGCACACGCCGGCGAGCGAGGCTAACCGCCGCCGTGCCGAGTTGTATTTTTTGCGAGTGCCGTCGAGGCGGCCAGTAGCCGAATACCCTCAACTGTCCAGCTGTAAGTTTGTTAGCTTTGACAGCTCCACTTGATTTAGGAAGCCAGCTCGGGCGCCGCTAGCAAGCTAATGCTAACGTGGTAGTAGCCAGCGCTGTGGCGGAGCGGCGGGGGGCTCCACGCATGGCCCCCCAAAGTTTGTTGTCGGTGTCTCTGCGTGTTTCTGAGTGGCTCCTTGTGCTCGTTTCAGACACGTCCGTGGATAACAGCGACGGGGAGCTCTGCTGCCTCGGTGAAGCCGTGAAGCTCAGCAAACAAGGTGAGGAAGTTACTCTGCTGTGTAGTTACTTAACGCTGCTGGTTTGTTATGGTTTTGTAATACGTGCTGTGCAGCATGAACGGCCACCATTCCCTTCATTTTTTCTCAGGAATCACATTTATTGGACATTTATTTCAAAGTATTAAAAAAAATGAAATTAGCAAATGAACATCTGCTTTTTAATTTAAATTGAAAAATAATGGGGTGCATCTGTGGCTGCAGCTAATTACGTTTATCCCCTTTAATCAGTTGGTCATTTGTAAATTAAAAGTCAGGAAATTGTGATTAATCATTTTAAAGGAGATGTTGCCTTAGCTGACCAAATTATCTTTAATCAAATATATATACTGTTTCCTAAATCCTAATTAATACATTAGTTGCCCCATTGGTTATATTAATATTGCTACATATGTTGTCCAAAATGAGCACATATACTATTTGTTTATGTATTTGTTGCTTAACATAATATAGAAAAAGATACTTGGGATAATCAAGAAATCGTGTCATTGCATAGTTTATCCAGCTCCAAATCCATTATTTGCATTCCTGTGTGCAGCACATGCAGCAGAGCATGCATCCTAGCTGAGCACGCAGTGGTGCGGAGTCAAGTGGTGTCTTCACAGGAAGTCCCTGTGAAATGCATTGCTGCAAAGTTAGTAAACAATGTTTCCCTAATTGTCTCCTCTCAACAATAACTCTAGCATACTATATATACCAGCCAGAATATCGATATCTGAATCTTTAAATCCTAAAAAACAGACATTACTATCGGCTACAGAAATCCAATATCATTCAGGTTCTACTGTTTGCTTTCGTAGATGACAAAATATAGCGTCAAATCTTCAAATTTGAGAAGCTAGAAAGATATTTTTTTTACTTTGAAAATGACAAGAATTATTTATTTGTAGTATTTTTAGCTGCCAGTTAATATCCTACACTGTTCTGGATCTTTTGATTTTTGACACCCATGTCTAGACAGTCCTTCAATTCAAACAGCTGTGTTTGCACAACTTGGTGACACTGTGAATAGAAAACCAGTTTTTCAATACTGCTGCATGAGTGAAAAAGAGGAGTCAGTGTCAAGTGGTATCTGGGGCTTTCGATTTTTGACACCCATGCCTAGACAAAATACAAAAAAAAAAGACAATCCTTCATTCACACAGCTGCGTTTGTACAACTTTGTGACAATGAATAGAAAACAGGTTTATAATATTGCTACGGGAGTGAAAAAGAAGAGTGGGTGTCAAGTGGTATAAATGTTAAAGTGTATATAAATATAATTTTGGGAATCGGAAATGAATGAGCAAACTGGGAAGCAGAGGTTCTCAATAGGGTTTGACTAATCATTGGCCTGGCACAATATCAGATCTCATATTCACCGTTTTTCTGAAGACGAAAAAAAATGATGTCAGATATAATGAATTAATTAAAAAATGTGCTGCAGTGACTCTGATGCAGCTGCCTCTCTGTATCTGTAATCACCACTTTCTGGTCTTGAGTAACGTCCCACCTACTACACTGTCTGATTGGTTACACATTGTGAGTAATAGCCTGAAGGATACATGTTGAGATGTTCTCTTTTAATTAGACACATGGAACACATACATAAACAAAGGTTAAGCCTTCTGTTGGAGCTTGTGTTCTAAATTTTGACACCCAAGATTACGTTTTTTTACTGCAAATGGGTTCCACATGTTCGATATTGGTCTGTTTGGTTACTAATAAGTGATATCGGCCCTTAAAAGCACATATAGGCGATCTGTAGTTCTTAAATTAGCTGTATTACCTGTAATCCAATTACTTTTTCAATGAGCAGCAGTCAGCTTTAAGTGCTGACATTGGATTGTGTTTAGCTTTGTTAGTATGTACGATCTATAATGTAAGTTTGATCATTTCAGCCTGTAATCTGTTCTAAATGGGCTCAGCTTACATAGGACTGTGTGTAGGGAGTAGTGGGGGTGCCCCTGAGAAGCTAATTCCACTTCCCAGCCTCCCCCCCCACCACCGCACCCCTCTTGGGACAGACCCAGAGGAGTTCCTGCACACCTCACCATGTATAAATACTCCACAGGGGCATGCACTGCACGCACACATACACTTGAGTCATCCCTGAAAGTTTGCCGCAGCCCTCGTAGGAACACACGCTGACGCACGCACAGAGCCGGGGAAACTCTTCTCACCATCACCGGTCAAATACCAAAAAGCCCCCTCCCACTCAACACACTCACTCACATGCCTCATCTTCCTCTTGTGAGAGCCAGACCGGAGCGGCGTTTCCAGAACCGCTGATCTGTTGGCAACACGACACCGAAGGCCCGCTGAGAGCGACGCGCACGGACACTCGCAAATTCGCAGGGAGCGTGTCGTAAATGCCTCCTTTGTGAATTTGTGTTTAGATAAAAAAAAAAAAAAGTGATTCATGCGTTACAGGTTTACTGACTTAAATCTTTATCAGCGCACACACACACACGTTTTTTGTAGGCAACAGTTGATGTGCGGCTTGGGTCATGATTGGTATCTATGTCAGCTTCTCACACATACACACAGTGGAGATGATGACAACCAACAGCAACTTGGTCTGACTAGACTGGCAGCCACTTTCATCATCGCTCTAGAAATAGGCAGTGCGGTAATGCGTTTACTACTCTCTTTCGTACAGACTTTACATGATACTTTAGTGTATATATTTGTATTTTTAGAGTGTGTTCAACATTATGAAAAGCTGTTGATTAACCATCTGAACCCCAAGTAGTTGCAAGGAGTTGTTGGCTCCTGTTATGATTTTACTCACAGTGGGCTCTCTTTTTTTTGCAATATAGAGAGCCCTGCGCCTCTATGGAAACAACATAGCTGTGGCTAAAAAAAAGATATAATAATCTGCAATCAACATGTACAAAAAGTGTTACCAATGCTTGAAAAAAAAAAAAAAGGCTCTACATGCCACGGATATTTAACTACTTAGATTTTTAATTTGTGTCTATATTTGTCTCCTGTCTCCTCTGAGTAAACACAGGATGGAGTTCCGCCAACAACAAAAAAATCCCAGAATTTTTGTCACGTGATTGTTGGTCGCAGCTGAGTCTGTAATTGTTTTCCTGTTTCGCCCAGAAGCACAGAATTTTTTGGATTTTTTTCATGTAATCTGGTTCATTTATTTTTGCTGATTTCTTTTTTTTTTTTTAATGAGAATACCAGTAATTCTAATTAAATATCATAATTTTCCAGTTTGGTTAAGTTGTCTGATGCAACCAAAATGTCACAGATAACTGATAAGAAGCTGACATCTGACTAGTTTGTTGACTTTTACAGTTTCTTGCTCTGATAAATGGTGTAATTTTGGCATTTTTTAAAAAAGATAACATGCATTTTAACCTGCAAGCAAATAAATGGGGTTCAGAGGGCTTAAATGTATGAACACAAGCGAGCGTACCACATTGTACAGGCGAAAGCACAGCACTGTTGGCAGCGTGTCTGTTGTTTCCTCTGATGTTCGACACCTTTCAGTTGAGGATTTGGAAAGTTATCTGATAGAGTCCTAATTAGTCATTAGGTAGATGGAGTACTGTTGTTTGTATTTCAGTGATGTGAGCTTGAAATTAGTCATACTATCCTGTCAATCCTGGAACACACAGTTTAAGATGTTATATGCATAAAGTTCTTCTTGCAATTGCTATGAAGTGTAATGGATTCAAGATGCATGACACATAGCCTGATCAAAATTCAAAAGTCTACCTCAAAAAACCCCAGGAGCTGCAACTTTCAGACAAAAATGTACTTGGCAACTATTCAGACGAATTGTTTGAGTCATTTCTAAAGCCAAACGTTTTCGATTTGTCTTCATCTTATGTCACCGTTAACTTGATATACTTTAGGCAACAAAAGCAATGTTAAGTACGCTGGATATTAATTTAGATTTTAAAATGCAGCTATAGTTTCCCTGTCTGTGATCTATGAGTAATGCTATTTTTATGGCAGGAGTCGGCTTTTTCAACCTGGTTTTTTTATTAAGCTGAAATCGCTGGCTAAAGATGCAATGATTCTGACCTTGAAAATATTGTAAGAAAAATTCTGAAACCATATATCGTAGTTAGCTTTTGTCCTTGGCTGGCATTTGTATTGAAAAAGCAGGTTTTAAAAGTTTTAAAATGATGACGATATGACCATTCCACAGCACATTTGTTACACTCTGCGCGACATTATGTCTTTACAGCTTCATTGTTGGTGCCAATCGAAAGTCTATTTCTCATTATGAAACATTCTGACTCAGGACAAGACCCTCAAACCAAGATTTGTGACTGAGACAGTTTATTAAAATGAAATTAGAGTGTACTAGCAGTTGTGTGTCTAGACTCGGTTCTGCACCGTTAGTTTCCTGCCAGCCACAAGTCAGCTTGTTTACTCTATGAGACATTTTGGTGCTGTACCAATAATTATCTGGTGTGTCCTTGCCCTTCTCTGGAACTGTAATGCCACGAATTATTGAAAAGCTTCCAGAGGTTTCCCCCTAAGTTGATAGATTTGAGATGATTTACCCCTTGCTGCATTTTTGTTGCATTATTACTTTGGTGTTAGTCAACCGAAACTTAGTTTTCCAGAGCAACAGTCACTGCTTTCAAACCATTTCATTAACAGCATGTTCTATTAAACCGCTTTCCAAACACTAATGCACCAATGGGAATTTGGTTTACTTATTCTAAATACAATCCGTGTCCAACGATGGATTGTTGTAGTAGCTTCAAACATGCTTATTCACCGATGACTTGATTGTTTTTGTAGTTCATTTTCTGGCCTGTCAGTCATTTGGCAGACTGTGTCAGTTGGCTTGAGACACACACACACAATTCAGGCAGCAGAAACACTCACTTCGTTTGCATTTGACTTGGCAGACACTGAGGAAATTGCCCTTTTTGCTTTTTTTTCAGTACTAATGTCCTGTTATGTTGCTGTACACCTTGGAATTTGCCATTTGCTTGAAAATCTCATTTTATATGTGTGTATACGTGTTTTGGCAGCACCTTGGTGATCGTTTCTTAACAAGAAAATGTGCTAACTTCTTGTGAAAACGATCAACTGTGGTGATGCTAATCAGATTTTTGAACAGAAGCCACTTGCCAGGCTGAGCTAAACCTGCCAGCACTGTTTCCAGTCTCCCTGTGTAACTGCTGACATTACAAAGTTATTAATTCTTACCACTTAACAACCTGCTGACAGCAATCAGAATATCTAAAAGCTGTTTTTCACACTCAGCCACAGGTTTCCATTTAAGTCTGCATTATCATACAGGAGCACTGACCTGGCCGCTTTCAGCTGAGTCAGAAAACAAACACTACAGTTTTTTTTAGTGAAGGCAAAAAAAAAATGTTATCGTTCAGCAAACATTAGAAGGTTTGAATTGTGACTTAAATCTAAATGTGAGTGTGAAATATTGTTCTTTTGTAGATGAAGTGCTCACTGCTTTAATGAATCTGCTTGTTTGCTGATATAAAGGCCTTTTCCTTTGCAGTATTCATCAGGTTCAATTGGTATTGTTTGGAATTTGCGCTAAAGTCGTAAAATATTCCTAATAGTGGTTTACTGATAAGGGAGTTTCAGTGGCTGCTGCTAATTATTTAGAGAGCTGGGCAGCTGATATACAGTTGAAACCAGAAGTTTACGTTCACTGAAAGTAAAAAAAAAAAATTCTTGGTAATCCTAACTGACCTAAAACAGGAAAAGTTTAGTCTGATTTAATGCTAGTGAGGGGAAAAGAAGGTTATATGTCTTTTTAAACAGTGTATGTAAACTTCTGGTTTAATGCCGATATGTTGCTGTAGGTATGTAACGGTTCAGCCACATAGCAATGGATGCACAGTCATGGTAATAGGAAACACTTACGCTGTCAGTCGGGATGCAAATTTAAGCACTTGTCATAACCAACAGTCGGCCATGTTAGCAAGCAATAATCAGTTTAGAGTTTTTCCGTGTGGTAATATAGCTATAAACTTACTATTTGCGACAACATCAGCTCACTTACAGTAGAATTTCAAGTAACAAAATAAGTTAACAGTAGGAAAAGTTCGAGCAACCGCCTCCTCGGGTCGCTAAAGTATTAAACACAGCGAACAAGTTGCAGTCTTCTGTCTCATAAGCAGGAGGGTCCACCTAGTGGTGCAACTAGGTACTACAGCTAATATGCAATACATTTTGTGATATACATGTCTCTCATTTTCGGCCTCATCGCTGATATTTTCCTAATTGTTTGAATTAAAAACAGCAATGAAGTCATTAATAATTCCATTAACATCCCTAGCTGTCGGGTATTATACTAATAAGAGACGAAATCCCAATATAAAGTTTTATCTTATCTAAGGCTAATAAATATAGCTTGTTGTCCCGCAACGATTGGAAATGACAAATCCTATAAATGTATTAAAACTACAGCTCCTTGGGAGTGTTAGTCGACATTGGGTATGGCCACACTATAGGTTTGTGTTTTTTTTTTTTTTTTTTTCAGGCCTGTGAGCTAGTTTTGCGAGTCGAAGGCTGTCACAGATACCTAATAGTAATCATGACAGCCTCAGAATGTGTATGTTCCTTGAAAACTTCCTGTATGAGTCAGATAAACTGTACACTTACAGTATGCTACATGGTATACTTGGACCTTGCGTTACCCGAACATATCCTTCCCCCCTCCTCTATGCATGCACACATTCTGACGGCCACTAAGCATAACTGTCCGTCTCTCCGGCTGTCTACATGACAGCAAACTCGCCAGCAATGCAAGGTCATGACGACATATACTGTCAGACACCCACGCATTCTCTGATTTTTTTAAAATTATTTTCCTCCTTTCTCTTTGCAAGCTTACACAAACACACACATCCATACACATCCCACCTCCCCTCAGTGAATCTGGCTTAAGCCCTGTGCTAATAATTGCTGTGATTTCTGTCAGCAGAGCTTGTTTAGGTTCAGGAAGATTAGGTTCTCAAAGCTTAGCCAGAAGAGATATTAGCTGTTTTCCAATGGACGTATTTGTTTTTCTCAATATTTCATTTAATCTTCTATTTTTTTTTTTCCTGAGTGGGTGGGGTTGTCTCTTGTAACTTCAGGCACAATGCAGCTATGTTAATGCTAGCACACTGTACGCTAGCTGGTGTGTGCTTGAGAGGATTGTCTGTCAGCTGTCTGTTTCTTTCTCAATGTCACGCAGTAATCATCCATGTGACATAGGTGATTAGCATCTGGTGAGAAGTGACATATTTTAAAGCCTGATACAGCTCCAAAGCTTACTGATAGCATTAAGTGCAGTGACGCAAAGCCTGGCAGTATTTTGTGTATATTAAATACAGAGAATATTATAATGTTTGATAGCTTAAATAACTGTTATGCAGGTGATAGTCAATCTACAGAGTACATCTGCGTCATTTTGATGATCAAAGTAGTACTTAAAGCGAAAGAAATCCCAGAGTTTTTCAAGCTCCAGTATCTAAAATGTGAAGATTTGCCACTTTTTAATTAGATACTTGCGATGACTCACCTCTATTAAGTCAGTGATCTTGAACTGTCTGAACTAAGGATGTGAATATACTGAGAATTCAGAGACTTAAACACTTAAAGTGGATAACCCATGATTGCTCGTCTAAAATGGTTCAAAAATGTGTCTGGCAGTACAAGCTACTTTGAATACCCAATTTGTCCATATTTAATATATTTATTGTCCAGTATGTAAAATGATTCTGCAAGGTTGCACCGGTACTTCTAAGTGTGCATCTTAACCTTACCAAAAATGTGCTGTATTTGCCTCTGATTAGGATTCTTCTGTCTTTGTATGTGCGTTCTATAGAGTAATGTTTCCTCTCGCCCGATTTGCCTTTCTGTTAAATGTGACATCTGCTCTTCGTGCCTCTTTCAGAGATGCTTGTCTACAGCCAGTTTCCTGCACTGGAGGATTTTTGTCTTGTTGTCTGCCATGTCTGCAGTAAGGTGGTCACTCCTCGGGGCATCCTCACACACTATGGTAAGGCACACACACCCCCTCAGGGCGCCGTCGTACACTTCACTGTGGCACACAAATGTGGGTATCACCAGTTGTCACACAGAGCCACAAAACAAACATGTTCATATCTATGTGCACACACAGGCGGCCATTCAGATCAATACAATAATTGCTATGTATCCCTGCAGGGTACTTTTAAACATAACCTCCCTGCAACTCTATACAAACAAACACCACACAGTTATGCCCTCCTATACTCAGCAGGCTGATGAAAGCTGATAAACACTAAATAATTTACAGATGTAGCATTGTGCACATGCATTTCTACCAAATAAGTCCTCAGACGAAGCCATTTACGAACATTTCTGCTCACGGAACAATGCTTTGAAAACGGTCTGGTGTTTTGTTTTTCTGAGGAAAAGCAGATGAACTGATGTGTTGAATTAGAAATTGAGGTGAACATTTGTATCTTAACAGCACCATTCTCCTGATTTTAAAGTTTCTTTTTTTTATTTACATGCAATTGGAAAGTAGTAGAAAAGTGTTTAAAAATGGCACAATGACTTAGCCAGTACATACATATACATGCTCTACTGCTATGCTTTGCCCACATAAGCTTACCATCATTTAAAAAATGGTGATTGTGGTTGCTATGGAGACTGTAACCTTAATGGTATAGCTTTAGTGATCCACTAACACAATCAGCTGTCGTCCTATACACTATGGTGGATAACAAATCTAAGTTCAAATTTCCGAAAGGCTGAAATTTTAAAAGGGAATCCGTAGAAAGTAAGCAGTGTCTGTGCATCTGAAGGGGTATTTGTTGTTGAAATGGCAGCACCGTTCAGCCCAGCTCTCATTGGCCTCACGCCCCGTCCGTCCACCTCTTGTTTGTTTTTGATTGTGGCTCCACTGAGCGCGCTCGCATCTGCCCGCGAGCTGCTGCTTCCTTCTGTTTGGCGGCTCGTGCACCAGCCTGAGCCGTCTGTTTGAGCAAAAGGGGGAGACACACGGTCACGCTTAATGAGCACACACACACACACACACACACACACACACACACACACTCACTTTCTCCCTTTTGAGGAGAGAGGCCAGCGGAGTTTTGCGTGCACACACACATTCTCACTTTCTGTTTCTCAGCAGAAAGAGGTCTGTGGTATTGTGAGACACACATATTCAGAGACTCCTGGCAGCCACTGTTGTTTTGTCCCTGCTCCTGCCCCCTGCAGGCCTTTCTCCCCACCGCCACCACCCTCCCCTTTTTTGGCAGCGTTTCTGCCTGCTGACACGCACACAGTCGGGTGACAACAGGTCTGAAGCACACTCGTGCACACGCACACAGCCAGGAGTGGGAATCTCCTGAGAGTAACACAAAGTGAACCTCGGGGCCACATTGTGATAACTACCAGACACTGTAGTGGACCAGCAGGCCATGCTGTGCAGATGAAATCGACTGTTTAAACCATTTACCATAGATTTCATCATATATTTTTACGCTCGTAACACTTTAACTGTGCTGCAGTGACCTAGAAGTCATGCTGTCCAGGTTGATTCAGTTAGCGCATTGTTAAATTTGAAGCATTACGTGTCTAGCTGCTCTGTGTCACGGCATGAAAAATACTCCTCCTGACCTCTGCTGAGTGGATCGCCTCTAGGAACTCACCCTGTCAAGATATTCTTATGATGTTTTATGCATTTCCTCCCATTGTTGCACGTTCCCATCATGTCGCTGTAGTATCCTCACAAGAACAGTGCCATTGTTCCCTGCTGGGGTTTCTACTTTAAATATTATGTGACCCTGAATAGTGCTTTTTTATTTTTTTTATTCGTTGCAGCGGCCTTGTATTTGTTTGTGTGCGTATCCATCATGGGATTAGCTGTCATGCTTGACCTGTACATCAAAACAGCCCTGAGACTTTACATATACAGAAATGCACACATGCATGCACACAGAAGAGGGGGATGGCTGCCTCTAGGGTCAATGGCTCCTAGTTATACATGCCTAGTTAGCTGCTCATTTTTGCAGTGTTTCAAGACGAGAGTGCTCATAACTTAAAGCTAGACGCCAGCTCCAAAGGAGTTCAGACATACTATATTTTGTACATCAGAGACATTCTCCATTTAGTGGATTTGTTTATTTAAATCTCCTTAGAGTACGGCAAAGCATGTATATTCTTAGCATAAGTGGCCCAGTGGGATATCAACTAAATCCCTCACGCTGGCAGTGTTGGTACCACGCTCGCTCCAGTGAGCTTGTAAAGTGAAAATGTGCAAAGAAATAGTTTTAAATGCTTGTGAGTAGTAAACCCTCAAAGCTTATTATGACCCGACGAGGGTGTTAAAGTGATATTTTCCCATTGCAGAAGTGTGATTTCATTTCTCATTTAAGCCGTCTGTAAAAAATTGATTCTGAGCAGCATCCCATGTGCACTTCTTGCGCTGTGAGCATCGTCAGAAACTGGCGAGCGCAAGAGTCACAACAGATTTTTATTTTATTTTTTTTATACGTGTGTAAATTCCCCTTTTGAAGCAGTATCTGTAAATAAATCAGGTCTCCACAGTCTCTTCAGATATTTCAGCGCATCCACTGTAATTTCCTCGCTGCACTCTTCGTTGTGTGTCTCTGCTAACCCCTCTTCTGCTCGTGGCCTGCTGTGTGTGAGTAAGTCGAGCGCACGTTAAAAGGGTCATGTTGTTGCTGTTGGTAGAACCGTCTGTCTCTCTTTACTCGCCGTCCAACTTTTTCTCTTTAGCGGCGGATTAATTGAGCTGCGAGGCAGATCAAAACAATCCGGGCTTTCCGTTCGGTTTTCATTTCGTTGCGAACTTAACAAGTGCTTGGGCTGCTCCTGCGTTTGAGTTTTGTTGTTGCTTTAATTGTGTTTGTGTGGGCTTTGGCTGTGGTGCGGTTGTTCGTTTCTTGTGTTATTTGGCTGTTGTTGGAAGGTTGTGCCCTTAACCACAGAGGTTCGTCTTAGTTTCGTTTGCTGCTGGCGATGCTCACTCCACCGTTGGGTTATTGTTGTTGTGGCTTGGCTGTATGAGAACCATTAGCAGAGGTATGGCCCAATTAAAATGCCAGCTGCTGCTGCTGTTCATAACAGGTAGTTTCTCTACTGGTTTTTTTTTGCACTTAGGTTTTCGTGGTCTTTAGACGTGCAAAGTGCATTGATGTTTTTCTTCATCTCTGGGCCAAGAGTTTTGCAGCAGCCGTAATCTTTTTTTTAAATATATATATACATGCAGGGGAAGATAGACATACAGGTAGGAGCTGGAAGTCCTATTACTGAGGTAGGAACTAGACTGTTAATTCATATTAGTTCATACTTGTTTCCTAGTTAATTCTGGTATAATATCAACACATTCAAACATGTGCATTATGAATATTTTCTGCATTTAAAACCTGTGCAATATCAGTTTTTCTACATACAATAATCTGTACAGTATGAGTATTTTTGTCTACTTATGGACAAATCTTTGCAATAAATCTGTCCAATATTATCCATCAGTGTTTCTACTCATGAACGAATCTATGCTATACCATTGATATGTGCAACACTGTTATTTCCACATCCATTTGGACAATACAATCTGAAATAGTACCACAGCAGGCTGATTTTTAGCTCTTCTCTACAGCTTATGTTCAGTTATCTGAGACCGTGCTGTAGGTTAACGGCAGCATTTCTGTAAGATCTGCTCACAGTGACAAATCCCTCCATCACTTGCTGTGAAGTCCTTATTTCTTATTGCTGTATTTCCTAGAAAAAACTATAATAAATGACGACCCACGAATGTATCTGGTCTTAGATGTGGCATAAATGCATATTTCAAAGTTTTACAAGCTGTAATTTTATTATTTCATTGTGTTCATGTTACTGGTAATTGCTCTGATTGTGATGTGCTTGAAAACAGACCAGAACTATGTAATTAGTGTAAATGTCAGCTTGATTTTTGTTTGATAAAATATCCAGTTAAAAAAAAAAAAAAAGGAAGAAAATAAAGGTTTCTGCTCCCTGATTGTGTCCTTAAGTCACCCCTGGGAGCCACACGGCAAAGTATTTTCAATAATGAGACACACTCTCTTTATATGGATTTCCTTTATGTATGCTACCAGAATGCCTCTGCTTTCAATTTATTCTTTACCCAATACAAGCTGCTATTTTTAAAAGCAGCAAGTCTACCTCCCTTTGACTCAACTCTGAGTCACCTAAATGATGGAGACTCTTCAGAGATGTTTCTCCTTATTTTCTCATGTCAATCTCTCTCTCTCTCTCTCTTCCTCTGCTCCTCTCTCAATGTAAACAAACCCAGCTGAGCTCTGAGAGCCTCAGCTTCCTCATCATCCGTAGGCTCCGCCCACAGGATGAGTCAGAAGCCAATCAGCGGCCCGCTAGGCTCTCAGCATTGCCATAACAACAGGGCAGGCAGGAGAGTGTAGTAGGGAGGGTGCCCTTGTGGTCGAGTGGCTTAGTGACCTTGCCTGGGCAGTCGTCCATGTATTGTAAATCAGTATGTTTAGCTCCCAACTGGCTCCTTATTTCGTAGAAACATAATATAGCTGAGTCTTCTCTGGGGGGGGGAAATAAGTTCATCATTCATTACATCTTAACTGTACATACGGATAGTGTAACTGTCAAAAGGTTGAGTAAATTATGTTTGTTGGCTGTCATAATGATGTTTTAATTTTTACTGTTATTCTATGTTAATATTTTACAGTTACTACATTAATTGGCTTTTATTTTGGGCTTTTTTCAGGATGACTTTTCCCTCAAATTGGAACATGCAGCCTTATTCTACGAAATAATTGTGATTTTATGGAATAAATATTAACAGAAATCCAAACACAATAAAGAAAGCAAAGGATGCCATGAAGCTCAAATAGCAGGTCCACCACAAAACAGTGGGTGTATCTGGCTTAGGCTTGGCCAAATAACCACAAGATATCCGATATTTCTTCAGATTTATTGTTTATCTTATTCCTGCCTGGGAAAATAGTAAAATTCTAAAATCAAGAGAATAACAATGGTACAGATACACGTGTTCTCCCCGGTCCATTTCTGCAGGGCAGCTTCGTTGAACCGTACAGTGGAATCGACTAAAAAATGCGTGATGCGTCTAATGTGCGAAACTGTGTGAAGTAATGTGTGATTTAATGTGTGAAATTTTCGCCGTCGTAGCTGCATACCTGTGAATGTGACTCTGGACTTTGATCCCGCTACTCTGAATACAGCTGCCTCCCCGGTCGTCTGCTTCCACTATTTACACACCTGCCACACACACACACACACACACACACACACACACGTGCAAATTAGTCTCTCACAAAGTACACTTACATACATATATATATATACTACTGTGCATCCGATTCATATCTCCAACGTAAACACACATATACTTAAACTATATGAGTTTTCATGCCGTGGTCCTGTGTCAACGTTCATTTGTTTATGACCACGCACTGACACACATTGTGCACACTCTCACCGGGTCACCTGCACCACACTTTCACATACACACTCTGAACAAACACAGTCTGTCTGCTCAGCCCTGTTGATCTGCCGCGCTGCAGTTAGTGGCCTATTACTACACTTATTAAATGGTTGTACGGCGTTGTGACACACACTTGTGCGCGGCGATTACTGGGTAAAAACATGGCACCAGTGCTGTCTGCGCTGTAAATATGAGGCTACAGCTAAGAGGTTGTTAGCTTAGCTTGGCATTAAGATAACAGCTGACTGAAGGTAGCAGAAACTACCAATCAACACTTCTAAAGCACATTAAATAACATTTATGTTGTTTAATAAGACAACAAGTGTATAAACAGCTGTTTGATAAAAGGTTATGTGCAGATCTTTTTCGATTCTGCTTCAGAATGTCTTCTCATCTAACTCTTGAAGGAAAGTAAACAAGCTAAAATGTTTGATTGAGTTAAAATGTTACCCCTCCTATCAAATTGACCTAAATTGAAACTGTAAGAAGCTCCCTGGTCAGAGCGATTGTGCTGGAGGTGCTTCATGTTTGTCAGTCTGCCTGCATGTGTGAGAAAGTGTGAGTGTGGTTACTGTTTTTTTTTTTATTGTCACCTCAGCTTGCACATGTCACACTTTTGGTCAAGTGAGCAGAGCTTGAGAAGAGATGTTTGTTGATGCTTGACTTCCGAATGTTTGATAGTAGTCTCTGTAGTTGTGGGAGTGTGTTTGTACTTATATGCAGATGTGTGCATGGGTAGCGTTGTTGTTGATATATTGATGCTCATTTTTAAAGATGAATGATTAATTCGACCTGAGCTGCTCTCTTTAGATTTAGTTCTTTTAGATTCTTGGCAGCAGTTTGCGTCAAAGTTATCTAAAAATTAACAGCTGCTTTTTCGCCTGCTTATCGCTCAGCTCGATCTTGCTCGAGCTTGCAGATGTTGGCTATTTACTTCAGAAGCAGCTTGTAGAAGAGACGAGCTAGAGAGAGCTACATCCTTTTGTTTTCAAGTGTGATATTATCAGCGATCAGTTCTGCTGTGTGTTCAGTGTGTTTCCCCCCCGCCTCGTTTCTCAGTGTTTACGACGTGTTCACCCCTCTTGTTTTCATTCAGGTAGCTGGGGTATAGTTTCCCTGTGAGACAGACACAGAAAGAGACAGTCCTGGACCACACACCCCCACCCTCCCACCCACCCTGCTCCCACAAAGACATGCATAGCAAAAACCGTAAGTGTAAGCTCCTCTCCTCTCCTATGTGTTGTTTTTTTTCCCTCCCGCCACCCTACAGCCTTTTGTGATTTACTCCCTTCTGTGTTTCCTTGTGTGTCTCAGCATCTTTTTTCACTTGTGTATTCTGATCAGATCTGGGTCAAAAGGTATTCATAACTGTTGGCTCTTATTCAAAAACGTCACATAGTAAGAATATGGTAGCGGTTTGTCACACAAGGACACTTCAGATGGTGTCAAGCATGTTGCTAATTAGAGAAACGTACATTGAATTGATTTGTAAGGACTTATTTCTTTTTGTGGAGAGGTTCTGGCACAGATTTGCCTTCTCTTGTGTTACAACACAGCCATCTGGCTCCAAAGAAGGGTAAAAAAAAAAAAAAAAAGTATTAAGTTGGTCTCAAAAGCACACAATGCTACATTTAGTAGTAGACACAGGTGCTAACTGAAACCACATCCCAAAAAAAGTACCCAGATCCAAAATGTACCCACAAGAAATGCAGAATGTTGTTGATAGGAATCTGTCATGATCTTCTGAGATTTTTTTTTTCTTTTGTGTGTGTGTTTGTGTTTTGCATCTGTTCGACCTTACACATCAGATCTTTGTCTCTGTTTTTGTCTTGACCTGTTCTAGAGAAGCGACACAGCTCCCCAGTCCCCTCCAGGAGCCCCTTGGTTCCCATGAAGCCCAAAGCTCCTGCAGTGGCCCCTGCTGTGGCTCCCAGTCCTGGGGACACGCTGGCATTCAGAGTCCCTAAAGATTATCCACACTCCCGCTTCAGCAAGGCACCACTTGCTGTTTACCCACCGAAGGGTGCACGGAACAAGACATGGTGTGTGCTCGCTTCACCTTTTAATATGATTACATTCTTACTCGCAACCCCAGAACATTTTAAGAGCTGCCAAAGTCCGATAAAACTCTCTGTGCTGGTTTTGCTACTCCCAAAATATTTGTTTTCATACTTTCTTCCCGCTTTTCTCCAGCGTGTCGCTACCAGTCGTGAGTCTGGAGAAGATGCCCTGCCTCAGCCGGCCCGACTCTGCGTCGCACGTCCGCCTCGCCTCCTCCTCCACTTCCCCACTCAAATCCCTCACTCCCCCGGCCTCCCAACGTTCGGGCGAGAAACTCACCAACGGTCGCGGCACAAGCGGGCCGTCCACGCCGCGCTCCACCACGTCTCCGTCTTCTCTGGACAGGCGACCCAGTCCGGCGCGCTCTCCACTGGACAGACGGGCGGCATCGACACCATCTCCCTCCCCGTTGGATCGGAAGCCCTCCCTGTCGCCTTCACCTTCTCACCGATCTGTCACTCTGCCGTCGTTGTCGTCATTATCACCGTTGGACAAGAAGCAGCAGAATGGGACTAAGACTCCCTCCAGGTCGCATAAAAGACTCTCAGGTGAGAAACTGAGTCCACTTTTCTGCTCTCACTAGGAATTTATTTGTGTTCTTGCCTGCAGATCACAATCATATGTTTTAGGCTCTTCAAACTCCTGTGCTGGAAGAGTTAAATAATTCTGCCTGTACTCCTTAAATTCCTTTTCCTAAGCTTTACATTAATGCATGCATGCATACACCCTCACAAGCTCACACATTATTTCTTATCTCAATATTCTTTGGAGAGCTTCCAGCCTGAATGTTTGGCTGCAGACAGGACAGTGGTGGAGAGAGACCTTTAATGGCTTTCTCTCTTTCTTGTTTTCTCCATCCCATCACTATTCTCTTGATATATTCCTTCTTAATCACGCTCTCCTCGACTGTCTGTCACAACTTTCTTTTCTCATTCTAACCTCCAAATTAAACGAGCACACAAGTTATCTCCAAAGTAATAGAGGTGAAATCGTGTGTCAGAATAAAATTAAAAAGGTTCGCGACGAATACTTCAAGTTGTGCCTTTGTGTCACGTCTCTCTCTATCCAGCTTTTCCCCTTCTCATTTCTGTCTTCTTCCTCTCGGTTTGTGCTGCGTATTGCCGTGCTCTGAGCCTCTGATTTACACCCTCTAATTCACGAGCTCCCACTGCCAAAAAGCAGCTTGTCTTCTTGAGAGATTTTCCCCACCTCCTGTGTCTCTACTTTTTTTTTTTTTTTTCACCCTCTCACTCTCCACCTCCTGCCTCGACCTCCTCGTTTCTCTCTCTCACACGCTCTGTCCTCATTTTTTTTTTCCTACTCCTGTCTTCTCCTCTCTCTCTTTGGCTTTCCCTCTCTGTGCATCTTTGTCTTGTTTTTCATCTCGTCCTTCTGCTCTCTGTGTTGTTTGGCTTCCCTTTCTCATGAGCGCCTCTCCTCGATCTGCGGTCACGCTGTTCATCTTCCTCTCGCTCTCGACTTCCTTTTTCAAGTTTGTGTGAACCGAGAAAGCGAGCATGTGAGTTTGTTTATGTCTAAGAGCATGTTTGTTGCTCATGCAGCATGCATTGGACCTGTTGTCTCATACTGCAAACACAGAAAGATTACAGGGATTATAGGACAGGCCAGCACAAGATTACAGCCCTCTGACAGTAACTGTTTAAGATAACCAGCTGACTGGAGGTTGTTGCTGGCCAGATAGTTTGTGTGGAGGAACAAAGGTCTGTCTCTCTGTGTTTGTGCTCAGTTTTTGGGTTTTTTTTTTTTTTTGCCAGCGTAGGAAACTCACAGAAGTTCACATTTGAAGGCATTTATGATAGATTTGACATTTACCCAAGATGTACAATGACTTGCAAGTACTGTACAAACTGACATTCAAGAGGAAAGTTCTTTCTGTTTTGCAACTCGGTTTTTATTTGTGTATGTATGAGCATTAGTCCCGTTGCACAGACAATAACAATTTATTCACTAACTTAAGTGCTACGTTTAAATGACTCATCGACTAAACACAGCTGTATAGTAGATTCTCTTAGTGCAAGGAAGACAAATAATAATACAAGCCTAAACTCAGAGTTAATGATATGCTTTTATCTGAGCCTACACGGTGCAGGTTATTAGTGATCAAGAACACTGACAACTGATATATGTTTGTAATAAAAAATTTCAATCTTGTTGTCAGAATTTACCCCTCTGAACCTCAAGCTGTTTCTGGGTTTTGCCCACTGTGGGCTCATTTTTCACTGCAATATTAAGTCCTGCTCCTCTATGGAAACAGCTTAACCATGGCTGCAAGCATCGAGAACTCAAATAGCTCTTTGGTGCACAATAACAAAGTTATAATGCCATAAATCATAAAAAATGAAAGTATTTGTTTTACAAAATTTGATCAAACCTGGAATCGGCACGTACAACATTTTTCCAAGCACACACAGGTTTTACCAGCACTGGACAGAACTGGTTCTACATACTATAGATATCTTACTGGATACATTTTAAATTTGTTTGCATGCTTGTCTTCTATCTAGTCTGTAAGAACAGCCTGCAGTTCAGCCGAAAACTCAGAGAATGTTTGTCACAAGACTTTTGGTCTCAACTGAGTCTGTATTGGCTTCATTGTTGCACCCAGGGGTACAAAATGTATTTTTTTTTGTTTTACAGTATTTCATTAGAGGAAAGCGTTCCTTTTTATCGAACAGATTTCAGTTAAATATCCATTTTTTTCACTTAGAATTTGCTGTTTGTCCCGACGCAACTGAAAGTCCCACATGATTACTTCAAGCACTGTTGGAAAGCTGAAAGTCCACCAATTTCTTTTGGGTTTTTACAGTTTCTTGAAGTAGTTTTTGAAAAAAAAAATTTAATTACAAAGCTTGACCTGACACCTGTAAATATAAAATTTGGCAGAGCTACTTCCTGGGTCATCTTTTGCCAATAGTGTGTCCCACAGTGCACACAGTTTACAGTTCAGTTCAAAACCTGAGCCCTCATTATCTATGCTGTTGGCCACCTAATGACTGTAAATCCAACCTGCCCTGACTTTTAGCTCTGATTTAGTTTCAACAGACCTGGATTATTTGCTGCTATATGCCTAACCAGCTATCTGTCATTTTCTAGCTGCTAATTTTATCTGTCTCCTGGTTGGTCCTGCCCAGGTAGTGCGTTTTTTTTAAGAGCTTTGTGACACTAATTCAATCAAAACACTAAAATTGTGGACCAGAAAAATTAAAAAAAGGCTAAAACTCTCCACAGAGCCAAGAGGAACTGCAGAGTTAAATCTTAATGGCTTTACTGAAATCAATGGATGTGTTTCATCCAGGGCTACCATTAAAATATTGATTATAACAGCTTTTATAGCATGTGGTGGAAACTCTTGTTTTAAGGATCTTCGCTGTTCGTCGTTGCTGCTTCTCTTGCTCGAGGTGCTTCGTCATATAAAATAGATGTTGGCATAAGAAAGAGTCTTTTTTTACAATAAGCATCAGAGACTCTGACTGCAAATTGACACAACCTTAAAAGTTAAGGGGTTACATTTCAACATCAAGTGCATGTTCCCTGCAGATTCCATTCATTAAGGCAGGAGGGAGTTTAGTGGGCTGCCAGTCGCTGGCGACTCTTGTCGGGCTGCCAGTATGTCTTGTCAAGGGTGATTTGTCACAGTATGAAGAATCCAAACAGTTTTGGTGTTTCATATTGGAAACATCGCTAATAATGCCACACAGAGTCTTGCTATTAGGGTAGCCTTAGGCCACAGCTGAATGATCATAAAGGAATATCTGAAGAGATAAATGTGTGTGAGACTATGACTGAACTGCTGCTGTCTTAAAAGAAGCAAATTAATTCACTCATGGCACTGCAGTGCTCCCACTCTCATCAAATGTGATTTGATACTTGAGGGAAGGAAGGAAGAAATTACCCAATGATGGTCTCTCAGTCTAATGTGTGTTTGTGTGTGTTTGTGTGTGTGCATATGATATTTTTCAGGGAGGGTGTTTGATCCAAACAAGCACTGCGGTGTGCAGGACCCCGAAACTAAAAGGCCCTGCACGAGGTCTCTCACCTGCAAGGTAACGCAAATAAACACACAAACAGTCCGTCGCTCGCGCCTCTCCACCGCTGTGTAATTTGTGTGGAGACAATAATGGCTTCTGACCCTTCCTCCCGTTTCCTGTCTGAGGGTGTCTGACCAGAAAAGCAGCTTTGTTTGTTTAGGAGAGTAATATTATTGAAGGGCGTGCTGACATCACCGCCGAACCACAGCTATGATCCTATCTGCCGCTCTGTCTGCCTCGCTCACACGCTCCCAGTTTCTCTGTTAATGCCGAGTAGCAGTGCTGAAGCATTACAGGGCCTACACTTCCCTTGATGAGGTAATTATAGATGTTGGATGAGGCTACAGCATCTTTTAGCAGTAATACTCTATTTTACTGCCCTTTAATTACCTCCACCGAGCGTTACTAATCACTTGAAACTGGTTATTAAGTAATTAAAGATGCATCAGGCGAGTGTGCTGATGTTTTTTTTTGTTTTGTTTTGGTTTTTTTTGTCTGGTTTTTAGCTGTTTTTGGAGTGGTCGGTCAAAACAGTCATGTCTACATTCTCTACCATCCCAAACATCTCAGGAAATGTAGCATATCTTTATAAGCTGGAGGCCACATTGTCAAAATGTCAAAATATTGCACGAATCATGTCAAACAAAAAGCACAATTCAGAGACGGAGGTAGTCTCAGTGCTCTCAGGGTCTGCTGTGGGTATCAGAGTCTCTGTTTATCAAGTAGAAGATCAGTCCTACCTTGTCAGAACTTTACAGAATGATGGCTTTTCTTTTAAGCGCTTAAAATGTAAAAACACTTTCGCAACTTTCTTTGCTTTGGAAACTATGCTTATTTTGGCCAATATTACAGAGAGCCCCAGAAGTGTCTTAACTAGTTTGAAAATGCAAGAAGTTGATGATACTCCGGCCAAAAACTGAGTTGATTTTTGTGACTGACATTCTGCTGGTGCAGAGGAGAGGACGTGTTGTCCCTACAGAAACCTTGTGTTTTTTACAAACAGGAAAAATGCAGCAGTGATGATTCAGTCTGAACCAAGAGTTTCAGCGATAATAATCAAACTTTAAACGCTCTTACACGGTTATTCTGCACAATTCAGGGGTCCTCAGTGACAATGGGCTTATATTTGTGTTCCTGTCAACTTATTCACAACAGATATAATTCAGTATTGCTTAATCTTGTGTATTTATTATTAATATATTTGAAATTGTTGCAGAGCTCTTATGTAGCATTGATGAGATATGTACAAGTTGTTTCCCAACAATGGGCCCCGTTACAGTGATAAAACGTTCCGACAGAAAATAAAAGATTTGAGGAGTTTTCAGCATCCTTTTTGTGTGCAGTGCCATTATAGATATGTTAAAACAATCTGGTTAGATTATACTTAGCTGAGTTAAACTGCCAGTTTTAATCTACACACAATCATTTTTTAAATTAAAAGCCTTGGAAAGCTTTTAATTGATTTTTGTATACATGTGATTTTAGTAGCTTGGTTTAGTTTTTTGCCTATACATGCAGAAAAATGCCTTTTTTTTTTTTTTAACCAACACTCCAAACTCCAAATGTCAGAAAACCGTAATTCCTACCTTGCTGCTGTCTTCAAACAGCGTGCCACACACTCTCCTCTTCCTTCACATTGCTGAAATGAGTGTAGTTGAACAAGAAATACTAGCGTAGCCTCTTGTTTGTGCTTAAACTTGAAATTGTTGACTTGCCACCCTGTTATTCAGCAGTCGGGATGGCTGGTATGATGCTACGTGAACCCTCCAGGCCTCGTGTTTGAAGAGGCCCGAACGAGTACAGGGAGCGTTTTTCTCTCTCCACATGCCGTGCTACCTGTTTAAACCAGTAACTCTGAAGCCTCTCTAAACACATTCTGTAAACAGCTATTGGAAAACCAAATGTTTGATGGCTGGTTACCTTCCAAAGTGCCTGAAAGGGTTTACAAGCTGGCCAGGCACAGGTAATGTTTACCCATGTTAGTGTGGTGTGACTTGGGCAGCAGTGATTGTCATGAACCCAGAAAGCCAACCCTCTGTGAGTGCAGCATTCAGGCCTGTTGAAGTATGTGTGCGTCACACTCAATTCTTCTCAGATCAATATTTTCATTAACAAAGCCTCCCTGGAAATAACCTAATATTTCCTAACTCTTACTAGCTTGCAGGAGGAGAAGTGTGAAATTGCCGTGAAAGCTTTTTTTTTGTGCGTTTGTTTTAACGCCACAGACTCACTCCTTAACCCACCGGCGAGCCGTGCCCGGCCGAAGGAAACATTTCGACATCCTCCTGGCCGAGCACAAGGGGCGGGCGAAGGAGAAGGAGGGACCCAAGGAGAAGGAGAAGGACAAGGACAAGGACGGAGCGCAGGGAGGGAAGGAAAGCGCCAACCAGAGTATCGCATCACAGGAGGCCGCATGTCCCGGCAAGTCTCACTGCCCGAACGGACGACCGCTCTCCACGCTGAAGCTGCGCCTGGCGAACGCACACATACCGAGGTAGGAAAATGTAAAACTAGTACACATGTAACTCAAGCTTTAGTAGTGATTTTCCAATTGCTTCTGCAGCTTTCTCTTTCCTTGTGGATGCCAGGTTTTATTAGTTTAGTCTGTACATGTAGGGAAAAGCAATAACTCCAAACAAAAGCTTATTCGATAAGTTTTTACGTTTACCAATTTTTTTTTAAAATGCTTTGGCGTACAGTAAAACTATTAAGACTTACTTCTGGGTAATGAATCACTTTCACTAACCATTTTTCAGTAGTATCCTTTTCGTATTTTTCCACCAGGGGATGCTGTAAACACAGATAGCCAGAGGAGCAACAGGAAAAGTCTGCCCTTGTCGAAGTGTTATGAGAAACTCATTTCCCGTTTCCATTCAGAAGATGATCCTCTGTTTGAAAAAGGAAGTTATTTGGGATTTTGCCACTTGAGCAAACATTTAGAATGACACTGATTGCAGTGTTAGGGCAGATATGACATGAGGTTTTGTTTAGCTACAAAGAGATTTTCTTTCTCATGCTTTCTTTCTTCCGTCTCCGCTTTTCTATTACTCCAATTTTCTCATTTTTTTGCTTTACTGTTCCTTTTTTTTCCCTCCCCCTCCCCCCATCTGTATTTGTTTTCTTTCATTTCCTACCTTGCTTGTTCTTTTTTATTCTATGCAATTTCACTTCTGTACCCCTTTACCGACCTCGCCTCCTGATTTATTCATCCCGACGTCTTTGTAATATTTCCACTCCAGGGTTCCAGGCGGCTCCTCCACCTCCGCTCCTCTGCTCCCGGCAGCTCCTCCCGCCACGGCCCCGAACCCAGAGCCGTCTCCCCACAGCTGGGTGACGACAGTGGGAGACGGCAGTCGCCTTTCCAGTGACGAGGGAGACGCAGAGACTCCAGAGGACGCCGACAGACCTGCCTTTCACTGCTCCAGTCATCACCCACAGCCTTTAGGGGTAAATACTCTCGACTACTAACTCTGCACTTTTTCATAGTCCATAACCTCGGGGCACTCGGTACCCATTTGCACAAGTTTTAGGCAACAACTCCACTTTTTTTTTTTTTTATCCCCGCAGGGTCTGCTTTTATATGTCATTTAGAGGAATTATTTTGGTTGGCATTGAGCCTCAGGTGTAGCTCTTATCCAGTGTTTTTAGAGGAAAAACAAAGTCAAGTTTGTGTGTAAGTGTGATTTTAGAATCAGTGCAGTTAAAGGAGTAGTTAGAAAAACTGGGGAAATACTCGAAGAAAAGAAGACAGATCTAATGTCTGTGTTGCATATCAAGCTAAACTTGTGGCACAGCGTAAAGACGACAACCAGGCTGTCTGTCTCCGTCCAAAGTAAAATGAAGATTTACCTCGCAGCACTTTTGAAGCCCACAGATCCACAGAAATGATGCTGTTTGTTTAATTTGCGCAAAAACTGAGGTGTTAAAATGGCAAGTTGTTATATGGATATGAAGGACAAGTACAAGGGTTGACCAGAAAGTTGAGAGACTGTTGTGGGCTTGCATGGAGCATGTCATTGTGCACATTCAACAGCATATTGGCAAAAGCTGTCATTACTCAGGTTGTTATGAGATAACGCATTATTGATAGCGGGACCTGTGCTGCACAAGTTTCTGTGACCACTAGCAGGTGCACTTTTGAGATTTTTCCGTGGTGCACATACTTAAACAGAGAAGAAAACAGCAGCCGGATCATTCAAGCTTCATGTCAAGGGGGTCTGCAGCTACCACCAAGAGAAGAAAAAGCAGCTTTCACAGTGCAAGAGCCTGTAGTTTTCAAAACCAGATGTTCAGGTGCACACCAGGAGGATGGTCAATGTTTTCTTTAACGTTCATATGATCGTGCATCTGAAATTAACTGGAGGAATTACTTGGACTGTAAAGGCAGAGTTGTGCTGTATCATCCTGAGGTCTCTGAGGGAAGCATTCGGCGCAAACTACCTGAACTGTGACCCGACAGCCTGTGAGCTTTTGGCCACAGCAACACAGTTATGACTGTCAACCCGCCTGACTCACCAGACTTCCCTCTCTGTGACTTTATCTGTTTCCCCAAAATGAAATTAAAATTGAAGTGTTGCTGTTTTGACGCAATTTAGGAGATTGAGCGCTCATCACAGATGGTGCTTGAACATGTTATTGAGACTTGCAGGGAGCGTTACAAGCATTGCAGAAGTGCTGGGAGCACTTTAGCGCTGTGCATGCATACTACTTTGATGGAAGTGCCACATTTATATCAGTGCAGTTTTTGATTTTTATTGCCACAGTGTGGTAACTTCTTGATTATCCCTAGTAGAGTTTTTTTTTCTTTCTTAAGTTCCAAAGAAAGTTTTAGCATCACTTGTTGTAGGTCATCTCTCATATCAGTTTTAACAAGTTTCCTCTCTTCAGCATCTGTTCTTCATCTGTTTCTCACATCTCACTTCCTCTGCTCTTACTCCTCTTGGTCGCCTCCTTTTTCTCATCAACCTCTTTCTCCACGCCTTTCTTTATTGCCCTCTTACTGCCATTAAACTCTCCTCCACTCCCTCTTTTCTCTCTGCAGTTTTGCGTATTCAGCAGCAGACTCATGGGACGGGGCCACTATGTGTTCGACAGGCGATGGGACAGGATGAGGCTGGCGCTGCAGAACATGGTGGAGAAACACCTTAACGCACAGATGTGGAGGCGAGTGTCCATAAACTTACACAATATTTCGCTTTCTTTGACTGTTATGTGTGTAAAAGCACCAATCAATGATATATCTCCAATCTCCAAATGCTGGAGGAATTCTGTTTGGCTCTGTCTGGGAGATATTTAGAAATCAACAGGTGATAAATATGAAGGAAAACTTGGTTTATTGGAAGCATGAGTAGGTGTATATGTGAGGGGAAGTGTTGTGCATGGTGACCTGTTTCAATAGGGAAACAACTCAGTTGATTTGAGGGGTGGGGAGTGCTTTTGCACCTGGATTTTTCGTGTCAGGAGGACATTTAATTTCACTCGAAGCCTACAAATTTTAAATTAAAGGCAGACACAACAACACAAATACTGAAAGACAAAACAAGGTAGACCCTAAGGAGTAAAGAATCATAAAAAAAGTTCAAAACAGTTGGAGAAGAAATGGTTTTTGAGTGGTCATCGTATTGATAAAATTGTGAAAGGAACAGAAATAGTAGCTGACACTTTTGCTAAGATGAGGAGAATTACAATACTTCTCAAATTATATCAAGAAATAACAGTTTTTTAGTAAAATACAGTGTGTTGGTTGATGCTTAAGGCACGGTCTGTGTTGATACACTTCTTCTTTGAAAGATCCCGTTCTGTGTTTCAGGAAGGTGCCTCTGGCTGCTGAGAGCCTTCCCTCCCTCTCCCCGTCTGGTTCCTCCTCCTCCTCCATCACTTCACAGCAGACTCCCTCTCCCACCTCCGTCAACTCCTCCCTCCTCGCCTCCGCCTCTAACTCCCTCTCCTACACCGCCACGTTCCCTCAGTCTGCGTCCACGGCCGGCATGTTCAGCATCAGAGACTCCACACAGGTTTTCTCACCGGGAAAAGCCCGTAACGGCTCGCATAAAGCCAGTCGCCCATCCAAAGACACGGAGGACCCCGCAGTGGGACCTAAAAAGAGAAAAAACTCTTCCTACTCTTCGTCCTCCTTTTCGTCTACTTCCTTGTTTCCGACCGTGGATAACCACAAAAGGAACGGCAGCAGCTTTCATTCAACGTTACAAGGCTCGGCGGGGGCAACTGCCTCCCCAGCCAGGAAAAAGGGACTCAGCCGCGGGGATGGTGGGCTTTGGAGCGGCTCGGAGGACTGGCTGTCCAGAGCCGATGGGTCTCAGAGTCACAACTCACAAAACAGGTGCGCTGTTTAGAAAGAGATCGGAAACTTCTTAAAACTGTGATTTTGTTCTTTGTATTCCGGGTGTTTTCTCTTACCTACTTGCTACGCTATTAAATTCATATTATCTTTTGTGACACAGACAATGGAGGTTGAGCTCAACAGTATGCAGTCAAAACACATAAGAGTGTGAGTCATTAACAGTAGAGCAGCGTGTAAACACCCAGCGCAAAGGCTGCGATGACAGGTGTTTGGCCTTCATCAAAATTATGCAGCACTGTAAGATCTGCTGCAGCGAATGACGAATCAACCCAAATATATCATACTGAAAAGTCAGAAGTGAACTAGAGTTTAATGTACATTTTTAATGCAATCTATCTCCTCTTCTGCTTCTCTTTAGTCGCGAACTAGCCACCACCAGTATACCCTACTCACCCAGCAGGGAAGTGGCCTCAGCGCCCCATCAGCCAATGGCTCCCCCCTCAGGACCCTTAGCTTATGGCGGAGGAGCAGAGGGGAGGAAGAGGAGGAGTCCCAGCTCTTACAGAGGGAAGGCCAGTAAGCTGAGCAGGCCAGGAAGGTTAGAGAGCCTTTTCGGGAAAGGAAATGACAGCGGAGGGATACTGGCTTCGGGACCTGAGTCCCCAAGACAGGTAGGTGTTACAAAAGAGGCTCTCATTATTATTTCCTACTTGGAATATCCCTGAATACATTTTGGTGTGATTGACACTGGAGTTTCAAGCTAATGTTCTATTCAGCTGGGTGTATGTGTATGTGCACAGGAATGAAGCTGCAAATATCGATCCATGACCGACAGAAGTATCTAAGTTTTCAGTCAGACGAAAAAACTAACTTTTCACCCATTTTCTGGCCGTTTTTGAGATTTTTACCAGAATCTAATGATGATGCAACTTCTATATTTCTTTTGGAGATGGTTTGATTTTGATTATGTGACCAAAGTATAAGAACTTTAGCAGCTAATTAACAGGTGGTCCTTAAACAGAGACAGATTACAGTGACGAAAAACTAGTGGTTAAAGACTCTGAAAAAAGCATTTTTTTGTTTTCCAGGTTCAAAGATGACGATTCATTCTAGGTGTTTCATTGGTTTGTAAGGATAAACATCAAGAACTGAACATTCTTTTTAACCTCGGCTCTTTAGATGGCAACGTCAGTCAGTCCACCCCTTTTAACCTGAAACTATCTGATGCATTGTTTTGACATTTGGTTCAGACATTCATGCTCCTTAGAAGATGAATCCAATTGCTTTCCCTGACTACGCCTCTACTGCCACCATCAGGTCAAACATGCAAACTGTTCAATATTTAGATTTATCAGTTAAAACTAATGGCACTCCCATTATCTTCTGTTGTACGTTGGGTTGAGCACAAATTAACAGATTTTAGCGTAGTAGCACACCAGCTTGTGGGGGTGAGCTTAGAGAAGATTGTATGTGACAGTAATCATGAGCATATTAGTTTTTAGATTGTTCACTATTTGAGCTAATGATAGCACACAGGTACAAAATCTTGAATGTCCCATATAAAAATATGGATTCAAAATACCTAAAATCAATTTTAATTTTGTTCTGTATGGCTTAAAAGCTTGGAGGTGTAAAATCAAAGCTGTGAGAATATTAAGACGCTTACTTGTGTCGTTCTGGGTGTTGTGGCGAATTCGCTCCAGTCGTATGCCCACAGGTCAGAGCTCTTTGGAACCTTTAAAGGATAGTCAGAGATGGTGGAAACTTCAAGACTGATTTGAAACCAGATAAGAAGGACTGTATGGGTCGGTGTGTTTTTGTTGCCTTTAGGGCTTCGGTGCAACTTCAACCATCTGTTCTTTACATCCGTTGTCTTCTCTCCTGCTCTCTGTGCTCACATATTCTGCATTTTAGTTCAATTTACAAAAAACCTGTTTACATTTGCGTATTTTTCTGTTTCTATTGTTAAACAACGGAAATGGTGATTTAAAAGTAGCCCATGAAGCCTACATGGTAACCAGGCAGTCACTTTTAACCTCCAGCTGTGCGACGCTAAACTGCTGATTTTATAACTGCAGCGTTGTCCGACAAACTCACCACAAACGTAAAATAAACACAATAGCAGTGCTGTAATTTTGGTGATATTTACATGTCACGAAGAAAAGTTAGAGGCGATAAAAAGTTCTGCTCTCGTGCACTTATTCATGTCTGTGCAACAAGTTTTGCTCTGTGCTGTCAATCACAGAAGCAGAGAGCGTCTTTTAACTGAAGGGGGTGTGGACAGCTGTATTTAAAGCTACAAACACTGCAACAGCTTGCGTAGAACGAGGTTAAAACTCGGACCGTTTAAGCATCAAGCAAGTAAACAAAGTACTGCTCAATGCTGAGACTCCTGTGTCTGCTGTGAAACTGTTGGAAATTGCCTTACATGATCGAATCTGTGTTCTCTCTCCACAGGCCAAGTTGCATCACTGACAGAAACCTGTTCCACGGACAGAATGTTGGGCAGCTGTGCAGGCCACCACCGCATGTGACCTTCGACCTCACCACTCTTCCAACGACGGCGCCAATCTGACTCCTTCATCTCGCCCTCGTTTATCCGATGACAGTTCAGTTCACCGGCTGTGACGTCAGCAGGGGGGTGGGGGTCTCTGAAGTCTTTGCACCCGGCAGTAACTTCCCTGTCCCTCGTTATGGATCGTTTTGTTGGAAAGCTGCTCTGCATCACTGTGGTCTTTATGGAACAACATTTTAGAAACAACCTCTCCTCTGAAAAGGGAATTTGCCTCACGTTCTCAAGGCATTGTTAATAACACCACCACTGTCGAATCTCTTCGGGGCAGGGGGGGATAACCAGAGTAGATTTCCAGTCAGCTGACGAGGAAAGACGTCTGTGATTGTTTTGGGGGGAGTTTGATGGTTAAAGGACCTACTGACACGACTACTGTAGGACTCAGACTTCAGCTACACCACCTCAATGCCCCCCGTTTTTTCTGTCTATCTGTTGATTTTAGCTTTTCCTCTTACTCAAAGAGAGAGGAGATAACAGCAGGTTTGGCTGGGTTTTATCCAGCTTTCTCTCTTTAAGCCTCTTTCCTCGTTTCTTTGTCTACCAAACAATTTCCTCCGTTTCTCTATTTACCATCTCCCTCCCTCGTCGTCCATCCTAGCATGCCTGTGTTCAAAGTGCACTTACTTCCCTTCAGCTCCCCTCTCCCACATCCTTCACAGACTCCAGATCGGTCTCCAGCAGAGCCACGCTCGGACCTGTTCGCACGAGGGAAGGAGAAGCATCTGCGTTACCAACGGCGCCGCGTCAATGCATCGTACTGACACATAGGAAGAAGTCTGATTGTTTTGTTACTTTCTTCGTTCTGGTTTTTCAATGTTGCAAGAAACTCCTGGACTTGCATTCAAAATGGAATTATTACTACGGTGTTGGATGGCTTTTCTTTTTTCTTTTTTTTTTTTGTATAATAATTTATCATTCTTAAATAATGTTTGTTATCTTACTGACCATTTGAAGTTTGAGCTACAGAGACCTTTTCAGCAAATTTCTATGGCATTTTGAAGAAATGGTGAAACTATTATTATATAGTTCATATTGATGAAAATGTGTACATATCTGTTATTATTTTTGTATTTATTAATAATTGTCCCCTTTTACTAAATATGAGGTAAAGAGGGAAGTATTTCGCCCTCCTGCTTTGGTCTGTGTTGAATAAGAATGATGAGCTTGGGCCTGGTTTCTCAAAACTTTCAAGACTTTGTTCGTTAACAAATCAATGCTCGAAAAATACTCGCACAACCAAATATTTAACTTTGGCAATGGCTGCTGTTTGTCATTTCCATATAGTTACATTATATGATTATATTTTTTTAAGAATTTGCCAATATTCAGTTCTCTTCCAATGACTTAAGCTTATTGTGAACAATTTTATTATTATTTGAGAAAAGTCTTAATTCAAAGTGGAGTTCCGTTGCTTTTTCTGGAGCTTTTTAACCCATTTTTACACGATGTGTCCCACTTCCTTACTACATAATATGCTATTACAGTATACACGGTGGGCTGCAAGGTGGTGCAGTTGGTAGCACTGTTGCCTCGCAGCAAGACGGGCATCAGGATCTTTCTGTGTGGAGTTTGCATGTTCTCCCCGTGTAGCGTTATCCGGGTTCTCCGGCTTCTTCCCACAGTCCAAAAACATGTTGAGGTTAATTGGTGATTCTAAATTGTCCGTAGGTGTGAATGTGAGTGAGCTTGGTTGTCTGTCTCTAAGTGTAGCCCTGTGATAGACTGGTGACCTGTCCAGGGTGTCCCCCGCCTTCACCCTGAGTCAGCTGGGATAGACTCCAGCCCCCCATGACCCTAGTGAGGATTAGGCGGTGTATAGATAGTGGATGGATGGATGGATGGAGTACACATGGTACATACAGTATTTTGCAAACATTTGAGCCACTGAAGGCTGACGTCTGGCCGTCTTCACCATATTCTCAAGAAAACCCTTTATCAGGATATTATCACTTTCAGATTTGGCCTTTGGGCCACGACAGCACCAATATCTCAGTATTTTTTTCCTGACGCTAAACACTGTGTATCTGTTGTTTGCTGAACTACAAAGCTTGATTTATTTTGTGAAACCAGGCCCTGTTTGTATTTTCATATGAAGGGCCCCACATTCCTGTTTGCCTGTGGTTCCACCCTTTTTTTTCTTTTTTTTCATACTTCTTCCAGCGTTCAAAACTGATAGCTATATTTTTTAACCGTCGTTATCTTCCAAGGCCGACCGGTCGGGCGTCGGTGCGATTGTGCTGGGTCGCTTTGTTGTGTCATGTTAGGACTGGGTCAAAAATACGTTCACTTACTCCTCAAATGCCCCCATTAAGCTAGGTACCATTTCTTCTTCGGTAGCTCGGCAGCATGGCCATTCCTTTGAGCCTTTAATTTAAATATCCACTAAACCGCATACACAAGGCATCGGTTGAACAAAACAAGCGGTGATCGAAACACTTAAAGGGAGGATACGTGATTAAGGCACCAGCGTTTTGCATTTATTTCCTATAGCGGCTCATTAGCGCAGCTGCAAACATTGTTAAACTGAACCGAGCGTAAAAGTCGATCTGGAGATTGTCTGAATTATGAAAAAGCGGTGTAATGGATGTCATAATAGCAAATAGCAACGACCTCCAAAACGTCTGAGGGGTTCCCCCGTCCGTTCTCATGGCGTTGTTGATGGAGCTAAAGTAACTGAAAGCATTTTGATTTGCTTTATCACAGCGGGAAGCTCTTAGCAACGCCTCTCACCTGGTACTCGCCAGCTGCCGCGGCGGAAAACCAACTTCTAGGACTCGTTTGTTTCCTGTTCAAGCACTAACGATGAATGAATTGTACATAATCAGTCGTATCTGTGTTTCTCCAAGTGCTTCCCGTGATGACACTTTATTCATCAGCGATCACCTAACAGCTTAGATCAGTTTAGTAACGCCTGCCTGGCTTTGTTTTACTGTAGATACACAAGGTTTATCTGGGTACTCGCTGTGTACAGTTAACCGGCTGACATGCCTGCAAGATGTTTTCTCACAGTTTTTCTCTTGTCACCTGCTGTGCTTTTACATGTCGACACAAAAAAGATCAAACCTAGAACAATGATGGTTTATATTGACTAAAAGTCTTGGTTTGGGGCTTCGATCTTCTCACCTTTTCTCACATGTATCTACAGATCTAACATGGCGATCTAAGTGTTTTTGGAAAGAACCATCCCTGACTTATTGTTTATAGTTGTAGAAATGGGAAGTTACAGTTTTGTTGCAGCTAAAATCAAGTTAAGGCTCATGGATGCAGAGGAGTTGGTATTTTGTCTTTGCTGTTCAATTTTATGGAGGTATTAACAGTTTTGTTGTTTTTTTTTAACCCTCCTTGTTCCTTTTTTTTTTGCACTTTGTCATATTGCCCAGAACTTTAATCAACTTCTATTTATATAAATATTTGAGATATTGAAAAATCTATATAAATATATATATTTGTAAAAGTGTTTCCGGCAACTACAGTGAAAGAAGATGAAGAGTATATTCTTTGGTCAGTCGGCCCCAGAACCAGCACACTGTTATTATCCGATCCAAACTGTGGTGAATTTTGAATGTCGGAAAAATGCCTTGATAGAATTTGGGGGGTTTATTCAGTCTTACTGCAGTCGGATTAGAAGATAAGTTTGCCATCAAAACAACTTAACACACGCTGTATTGAAAAAGAAAATAAGGTCTTATATCCAAGCTTTTATTAATGATTGAAAGCGGTTTCGTGGGGTTGTTTGTAAATCAAAGATGCAGCTTTTGAATAGTGAGGAAAAGTCCCACTGCTGATGAATGTTTGTTTTGTATATTTTACTTGTCATTTCTGCAAGTATCTGTTGAATGTTTTCTGTCCAAGCAACTCACGATCGCTGGTGTCTGACGTGATATTTTTTGTACTGCTGGAGAAGAGCAAATGACCTCTTCTGTGGTCTGTCAGTGTTTCACCGGGGATGCTTCAATTATATATTTTGTAAAGTATGAAAAGACACATTTTAATGCTTCAAATTTTACCAGATGCATCTGTAATTACCATGTTCATCAGTGAAAATATAAAACTGAAACGACTCCTGTCTGCTTCCAGTCTTAGAATAGCTGCGACATTTAACTTGTGTTGTTATGATTGTGTGTGTGTTTTTTTCTTCTTCTTCTTCCTAGCAGCCCTCACTCCAGTGATGTCCATCCTACGCTTTGGTCCAGAGAGAAATATCTCAACTGATGAAGAGGATCCATCTTACTCACTGCGGTGATCTCCTGACCTTTCCTCTTAGTCCCATTAGCAGGCTGACATTTTTGGCTTTTTGTGAGATATTGTTGGATATATCGCAGAGAAATTTGATATAGATATCCACGGTGAGCAGAGGATGAATCCCAATAACTTTGGTGGTCGCCTGATTTTCATATCATCTGGCCAAAAGTTCAATTTTCCATTTATCTGCTTTAAAACTGGCATTGCAATCAGACTCGGTAACAAATGGATCATTTCGCCTCAATTCACCAAATGCCCCATGCCTGAAAATTTGAGAGATTTTTTGGGTGGAATAGTGGTTGAATTGACCATGTGTGAAATCTGGCATCATCGGTAACATTAGCTTTTAGCTAAAAATTCTTAAATGGGGGTGTGGTCCTGTCAACTTTTGCGCTGTTTTCTTCCCGCCAATCTGTGGAGTAATGTTCAAACTGCCGCAACTTGAGAAATAATGTAGCTAGAGTCCTGAAATTTTGCAGGCTCATTGATAAGTACGTATGGTCTTGAATGGTACAAGCCGGCTTTGATAGAATAAGAAAAAACAATTATATGATGGGGTAAAATTTGGTTTCTGTCTCCTCATTTTCACCCTAAAAGGCTGATTTGTATTATTAAGTTTTTTCATGTGATTGGCACCCATTGGAGCGTTAAAAATGTAGAGTATGGTGCCAGTCAGAGCCATACTTATGAGGAAAAAATAGTGAAATTCATTGTTTTTTTTTTTACCAATATATGTGTCTTTGAGCGTTCGTAAAATATTGTTATTAGTCATTGAGCAGGTGTGATGGGTGGAGCAGTTCTAGAATATTGTTACTGGGCTAAAAGAAAATTCGTGGTCTTCCAACTCATAGCGCGTCAAATCATTTTTACATCACCCCACCCCTGTTTAAGAACTTCAAACTCTGTGTTAGCTGTGACTCCAGATTTTTACAGATGTTTT